CCATAATATGATGGGACAGGAACATTCACATTTATTGCGTCTTTATCCTAAGTCCATTCTCTCCGTAAAATCAGAACGGCACAGTATTTTATAACGCTCCCTTATCAGCTTCGGGTTTAGTTATTTACTTTAAAATGGACTAATTTCTTATTCTAGCGGAGGGGGGAACGGCTGCTGACTCGAACAGCTGCTTCATGACCCAAAAAACTGTCAGTCTTTCCCTGGAATAAATTGTGGACTGTTCCATTTTGTAAGGAGGGGGGACGACTGTGTGGAGAAAGACATGCGGAGGGAAAACCGGCGGTAATTACATCAGGGTTTGTTTTGTGAAACAAATTACGCATGAAGCACATTCGTAAATACACATCTGATCGATTAGAGTGAGTGTAAGGGCGATGTTTGTACGATTAAAAGTTTATGTTTGTGTGTGTGTACCTCTGTGTTTTCTCGCTCCGATTCGGATAGGCTCATAGTAGAATCAATTCACAGAGAGGGGAGCTTGAAACCGTCCCTAGTGCCCGCGCGCCGAGTTTGGTGAGCGGCGTGTTGGGTATCTCAGAGCTGAACTCTGGGTGTAAAATGTATGATAAGCTGTCCATCTCCAGGACACATATTCATTTATGTTTAAATATTCTAACATGAACGCACGTTTGAGAATGCTAGAAGCAGGCGTTGCGCGCGCATTTCGTTTTGTTGCGGAAATTAAAACATTCTTCGCGTTCTTCAAGTTACATCTTAAAGTTCCTCTTTAAGTCAGTCTGCTGGCAGGGTTTTAAAACGTAGATCTGTCTTTACCGCGCGGGCGTCAGGAGTCTGAATGCAAACATTACGGTTCCTTTTCCTCCTGAGGTTCACGTAGGTTTGATGCACTTGGTTAATTTGATTGACAGGCGTCTAGTTTTACTCATGCAACTCCTTTGTGACGTCACGCGCCGTTAAACTCATGAATTATGTATATTATGCATATTTATGAAAAGGAGAGGATGATATTTGATGTGTACTTTGTTTTTTTTAGTTCATCCTAAAAATTTGCAGACGTATTTTAATTAAGATAATATAATATAAATTGTATATAATTTTTAGATCATATATATATATATATATATATATATATATAAAATACACAAAATTTGTTAAAGACAGATTATTTCTTTATTTACTCATATTTCAATTCATATGGAGTGGAGTGGATTGATTGATTATTACACAAAAATGTGGATGTCCATCCACACATTTTGATGGAAAAATGCACAGGTATTTTGATACATGACTGTTTGACATTTAATTTTTTCCCCATAGATTATTTTTTGCTGTCTGAGCTGATGATGTAGCGCAAAATGTGAGCTGGCAATTCTCGTATATAGATGTTCATATTGTTTTGAGTTTTTTTTAATTATTATTCTTGATTATTGCTCTTTAATCCATGTACAGTTACAGTACATAACCTAACAGTGATGTCAAACAAATACACAAATATTTTAGTGTCATGCCGTATGCATATTTGGTGGTCCATAAATGATCACATTCGTAAAACCTCCAGAAAGCACCTACTTATGCATACATGAGATGATTATGGAAAATAGGCGATATCACATTCATACCACTTAGTTTCTCTCACTGTTTTTCTCTCTCACTCTCTTTCATTATTCTGTTCATTTCTACTGGGCCCTGTGTGGCGGCGGGTTTGGCTCTTCAATGCACTGCAGGCTGACTTTACCAGCAGGCTGGGACTGATAAGGAAGTCGTATATGGTTGAAGCGGAGCTCTAGCCCAAAGACAGTCTCCACAAGCAGCAATGAAGCTCCACTGCGCCCCCTGTGGCAGCACATTTGAAGTGCGGGCACAGCTTTGAACTGACACACAACATGATTGATTTGTTAGTCACATTATACTTATTTTGAGGTATTATGGATAAGGACGTCACATCGGCATCAATTTCAGGTTAGTGATAAGAATCATTGAAAGTCATAAAAGGATTTCCATATGAACAAGCAACTGTGCTTCTACATTAAATCCTCCATTCTGTGTTTCACAGACAAAATAACATAAGGGATTGACACGAGGCTGAGTAAATAAGGCCAGTATTTTCATTTCACCTAAACTATCGCTTAAACGCTACCACACTGAGATTACAAACCCCCGTAATCCCTCCCACTGTAAAAATCCTCATCTAGTTTTTTTTTTAGGTGTGGTGAGCCGCTGTTATTCAGAAACCAGCGCAGGTCTTCATCAAGTGCAGTGCACTGTGGGATAGGGCTCAGGCTGTGCGTGGGGGGGGACAAACAGAGCAGAACAGGGTTCATGTAGGGTTGTTATTAGCTTTGTGCGTTAGCATTGAGTCAGATGCTTCGGGAACTGACCGTGTGAGTCATACGCAAACAAATCTATCTTTAGTTGGGTTTCTGTAGTCCCCCAGCAATCCTATTGTGTGGCATCGCAGTCCTGTCGACTATGTTAATGTTTGCACAGCAGCACAATGGTCTCTATCTGATATCCTCATCTGCTACCTATCAGGTTAATACTAAACCGAGGTGACTAGATGGACCAGATAATGAGTAAAAGAACAAGACTGAGGTAAAAAGTCATATGAATAATAAAATGTGCATTTAAGGAATAGTTCACCTAAAAATTATCATTTGTCCTTACATACTTACATTAAACACAGAATAAAGCATTCATTTGGAAAGCATCTTAGATGTGCAAAATATCGTACCACTGAAAAAAGAAACTACAAGTTTAGAATGAAGGTCAATAGATGACGGTTGAATTGGGTGAAATTTTCCTTCAAATATATAGCCTACTCACCAAGAAGAAAAAACAGTTGATATAAATAGGAGGATGTGACTTTTAACTTTTCCACCAGCTCATTTGCATGTTCTAAACAAAAATGACATATTGTATTTATATGATGTCTGTCCACCTTATTTTTAAAGTAAGAGCGACAGGGGCCATTTATTTGGGCTGTCTGAATTTTTTGAATCGATTCCAATTCCTTGCTGGAATTCAAGAATTCGAAATTCTGAGAATCAATTCTTCACTGTTTTTTTTTTTTTTTATATTAAGGAAATGTTGCAGGAACATGTTCACCTATTCTCACCATGACTACAAGATAAAGTTTGTAAAATGAAGCTTTAGGCTACTTGGTAAATATAAAGATACATTTCTATAGCTGTGATTGATTTTAAATGTTGCCAATCACAATTAGCAAGGGAGAGGTGAATTAATGATCAGTTAATTTTTTTTTTAAACTTTTGGAATCGACTCTTAATTCCCAAAGCCTCAGAACCGAAACTGATTCTTTTTGGAAAACGATTCCCCGTCCTACCATTGTCATTCGCTTCCAGTTATTTTAGCTGCCAAAAAAGTCCGTTATGCTGCTTGATATTAGAAACTTGTATTTGTTATCATAGGCCTATTATTTTAATTTATTATCATAATCATAGGCTTAGCGCAAATAGTTTTACCGTTTAATATTCTTCTAGTTATTTAGGCAACCGTATAGGCTAACGAATTGGAAGTCTCGCACATTCATTGAAAATAGCTTACTGCCACTTTGCAAAACACGGCTCTCTGGAACAGGCTACTTGATTCTGATTGGTCAATCGCGGTATTCGGCGGTCTGATATTTGGAACTCTGTATTTCAAAATCCAGCGCTACTTTCGCGCCTCTCGTGTCAAGTGCAGCCTCCCGCTCTTGTTTCATAAAACCGCAACGGTTGTAAAAAATTACCTCAGACTCAGAGTAGTTCTGTATTAATATTCCTGTATTATTATTATTTTTCGCCCAGGAAGCTTTAAGACAACACACAGGTAAGATTATAATGTTATTTGAATTTCATGTATTTATAGTTATACAATAAACGGGATAATGTGAAATCATCTGGTCATTATTGCAAAATAAACCCTGACAGGGTGATACAAATCCCTTAATATATGTGATGCACCTTTTCATACCTGTTGTAATTAATCGATTGTATTAGGTAGATCTATAGAGCCAGGTGGGAAATGTTCTATCACAGCCGATGGGCAGGTGTGACAGGGTGTTAAATCTGAGGGAAGCTATTTTTGAAGAACAGTCTGCTGGACATCGCCTAAAATGTGCCGCTGACCTTCACAGGTTCGCACCTGCTTCACGGCACAGGTGGTTTGTTTTTGGAAAATACCTGAAAATGGTTAGAGATGCAATGCCTTTTTGGGCTGTAAAAGTCATAAGAGTTCTGTGAAGCAGAGTTTTAATGTGTCATAAATGGGTTTTTGACACCCCGTATGTAATTCCAGGGTTAAATTGAGGGTATATAACCAGTGATTCATTTAAATTACATCTGTGTGCATGTAATAAAATAAGACCCAGGCGTCTACTGTAATCTCTGTGAAAGTGCGCTATCTAGCGGCTATAGTGTGAATGTACACGTTTGCACTGACATATACCTCACAAGCATTGTAGGTTCCACTATAGGCTAACAAAAATCACATTTAAAGAATTATTAGTAAATAAGAAAATGAATTATATAAAAATAACCTCTTTTAAAAAGCCACGTAATGCCAGTTATAATCCACATCCGTTCATTTTGCGGTAACCTAAAGCTCTCTACCGCCCCCTTGTGGTTAACGAATTAATACAAATACAGTGAAATTTGACTTTAAAAGTGTGCAGATGACTTGAATGACAGTATGTGTTTGCAATGGATGAAGAAAGTCCATTTCAAACACGTTTTCTTGCAATATACAGTGACTAAAATGGTTATAATTAACATGTAATCCAGGGGTCTTTAACCTTTTTCAGACCAAGGTGAGACAGGACTCCCATTACTCCCAATGTGTAAAATTAAGAATTATCTGGCCTGTAATAATAATTACTGATGTATAGTCACATACATAACATTTTACTTTACCACATTCTACCATAAATCAGTTCGGTAAACTTTAGATTTTTTGACTTTAGCTTTGGTTATTTTAATATTGTCAGAATTTATTTGAACAGGAACTTGACCCACACCAGCTTAATTACAACATGAAAACACTTTATTCATCTGGTATTATGGAGTATCTTATGGGAAACTGTTCAAAAGAGAGAAACAAAAGATATTACTGACTTGTATTTCATACAGTAATGATGAACCAGTAGATATTAAATGGCTTATTAAGGTATCCCACCTCTTGACTTCTTAGTAATCTATGGTCATAATTACAATGCCTACTGAACATTAAGCAAAAACACAAAGATCACAAGCGTACAGCAGTTTGTTTCCAAAACAGATGGGACGATATATTCAACGTCTCATACTCATAGCGTACTAAGCATGCACTGTGGCTGGGCTTAAATGGGGAAAAATAGCAGCACAAGACAAATAGTGCCAGGAAAGCCTGTCAATTCTACAGTCTAGTTACAAAAGATATTTGTCAAAGCTTGGTGCTAGGCGTTCAAAACCCGCCCCAACTCCACCCCATCGCTTTTTCGGCCAGAGATGAAGAATATAAGGGGAAGGGCTTTGGAATAACAATTCACATTCGGTCTGAACAGCAAGCATTTTTCCTCTCTATAACGGTTTACGTTGGGAATAAATTTACAATTACACCTCATAAAATCTAAAGGAGCTAAATGTGAGATGAAAGACTACAGGCCTATGCTTTAAGCTTCGAATAAATACATAAATAAATAAATACACATCATGCTTCCTTGACATGAATGTGAGTAGTTTAGTCAGGCTTATTATGGATGCATAATTATGCATATGAAAATCTCCCTCAATACCTACTTGCATACAAAACATCCGAAAGCCTATAAAGAATGTTTTATAAATTTAACTATATCCTAAAATCCTAATTTAACTCTTCAAACTACAGCATTCACAATCTGTGAAGTAATTAAGAGTCCTTGTCAGTTTGATTACATATCAGTTCAAAGGACGCATTCATGTTTTGTAAATGTTGTTACGAAAGCAGATCTTTCGCTAATTGGCTGCGTTTGATTTTTCCGTTGCTCGTTTGAGCAAAGTGAGAATCTACGAGTGCGACTCTCTCTCTGACAGATTACCTTCAAAGCTTATCTTCCAGTTCAAATGTGACGCTAATTAATAACGGGGAGAGGCGCTTTGAAAGTAGGCTATTCATAGTAAAACTAAACGTTCGCTGTAGTATCTAAACGCCAAAGCTTGACAAATAACCCTGCTCTTCTTTTGAGGTTGTGGTGCAATCTACCATCTGAGCCCCTGTGTTTATACAGTGCGTTTTTTAGGAATTCGATAAGAACGTATCACAACAGCGATAAGAAACTTGTTGCGAAGTTCTTCATGAGCTCTAGTGTATGTATACATTATAGTCAAAAATGCGTTAGTATATTATGTGAACAAGCACCTATACTACAATTCCATGAGGTTTGCAAATTCAGTGAGGAGACTAGTATTCAGACAGGACGTACGTCGTAAACGATATAATAAATGTCATCATGCATGTTTTTTTTTTATATATATAGAAAAACAATGTAACTTTCCCTTAAATTGCGAGAAATAGCTCTGGAGAGGAGTTGAACCCTAGTCGTAACCTCTTCAGTGCTTTTACAGAGATGTTTTGCTGAGGTCAACCTTGACCGGAAGCGGCCCCGCCTCCTTGCTCTCCTCCGATTGGCCGATTGTCATTGCGATCACTGGCATCAAGTGATAGGGGTTGACCTTCTGGGTGTCAACCATGTACTCTTTATCTCCATTGATGCTAAGCTGTAGATACAACATTGATTATCAACATTTAACTTGCCAAATTATGTATTCAAAATAATAATAAATTGTATTTGTAATGCCCCTTTCTTACACTCAAAACTATATTAGAGCTTCTTTCAAGTAGCCACGTTTTTGAAGAAGTTCATGTATATGCTGGATACTTGTTGGCTGCTTCTCCTCTGCTCCAACTCATCCATTTAAAGAAATATTCTCTCCTTGTCTGGCTTGTATTTCTTTGGTATTGTTTGTTTGATGAATGAATGGGTACCTGAGTCTTGACGTGCTGCTCGGGTGCCGTGACCAGACTGGCACAGCTCAGCCACAGCATCACCATGATAGACAGGAAGAGACAAGCTGCTAAAATCCAACGCGGCAGTCCTGAGCGCCTAGGGGAAAGATACGTGGGAAGAAGTTACATATTGATAGAATATTGTAGAAATTATGACACTTTAAAAAAAGTGTATATTAGTGTATATAGTTTCAGTTTATATATATATATATATATATATATATTGTATATGTGTGTGTGTGTGTGCAAATATATTAATTATATACATTTAAAAATATTTAAATGTATTTATTTATATTTGTAACATGTATGTGTAAAATATTTAAACTGTAATATTTTACAGTTTAAATATAATAATATATAAAAATTTATTTAAAATTTTTTTAAATGTAATAAAAACGTCCAGTGAAACCAGCTCCTTAAGCTGTAATTTAATTTGCAAATTATTCCAGACAAAGGGAGCAGCAAATTTAAATGACTTTTTCCCTAATTCAGTACGAACCACTGGAACAGACAATAAGAAACATTCCTGGGACCGAAGGCTCCCATAAAGTGTTTTGAATTATCACCATCCATTCCTTATTTTGTTCCTGATTTTTTAATGATCAAATACTGAGTAACAAAAATGCTTTCTATGTGTTCCCTTTCTAACAAAATTTTAATGTTTGACTGTAATCATAATGTAAAACCTGATACTTATCTAACCAAAAATATCTAAACCTTGACAAAAAGTAGTTTTAGAATGTCTAGATAGATATCTAAATGCAAAACCTAAAAAAATGAAGAAACCACATAGTGACGTAGACATGTGGGGGCGTGTTAGAACGAGGCGTTTTAGGAGGGCGTGGACGAGTCTTAACTTTTATAAAGAATATCTCTTTGGATTTGAGACTTTAGTCTTTGCAACTTTACAGATCTTCTTTATGCACCAAGAGCTTGTAACACTCCAAAGAGAAAGGAAAACTTAAAATCGCATCATATGACCCCTTTAATGTGAAATATTGCATTTATTAAAAAATAGTAAATAAATAAATAAATAAAAAATATCTATTAATTCTAATGGAGAAAATAGCTCATTAAAATTTTATAAACATTGCATAGTATCATAAAATTTCCTCAAAATCATAAATAATAATAAAAAAATATTATTGAACAAAAATATATTTCATTGATTTTCCTGAAGAAAAAAAAGTTACATTTCAAGGCTTCGGTTACTTTTGACAGCGAAGGAGGCAAGTGTGACACCTAAACGAAGAGGGCCAGAGGGTTAAACATGTCCTGACTGAAAAAAAGTCCCTTTCACCTTGACATGCAGCCCAGGAAGTCGTGCTCAGCAGCTGGGTCCTCGGCATGTTGGTTGACATGCTTTGCTTTCGCCCCAGGTTTTGCCGCATTCCTCTCCCCATGTGACCGCCCTCCTGGAAGGATGCAGAGGCAGCACTTTCAGCATGTGGACATTGATTTTATGACCCTCCAGCTTCGGACAAACTACAGCGGCGCGGCGCCGCATGTGTCGCAAATGAAAGTCAAAGCTCAAGCTCTGGTCCTTGGCTCCACTTAAATGAGCTTTCAGAGGAAAAAAAGAAAGCTGTCAGCAGCCATCTGGGGTGAAAGCGGTCACTCTTACCAGTATGTGGCCGCGGTGTGTGGGAGTTGACTTGGGGCCAAGGTTTGTCGACCACGTTGGAGCGCGGGGCTTGTAACTCAGGCAAGGAGTACTCAATCTCTGGCTGGCTCTGGGAGAATCAACAAACACAATGTCAAGGGCAGGAAACAGCATTATGGGATTTACTCAGCAGAAAGGCTTCTGAATGAAACGGTTGGGTATGTGACCGTTTTGTTGTGGTGAGGATTTCAACACAATCATGCACAGAGCGGCAAAGCAGAAATACAATTTACAGAGTGACATAAAAATGCTCTGATTCTTACAAACATACAGATGATGAATAGCACAGTTAATTATAATGACGTCGAGGGCACGTTTAAAAATATGAGCAAAAATTAGCTGCTAATGCAGCTCCTGCTTGCGCCTGCATCACGTACAGCTAGAATGAGCTGAAATTTGATGTCATTTGCAATATTTTATGAAACTGGGTCATCACTGCCTATATGTTCACATGGTAAGAGTGATGTTGTTTAGTCAATCTGAAATCATGAAAAAGTTTAACAAAACTTCATTTATGTTAAAATAAAATCTGAGGTATATACACTGCTGTTTCTTTTTTCCTAAAGAAATTAGAATGGTATTAGATATTAGAATGATTTCTGAAGGATCATGTGCAAGTCTTTTATTTATTTTTACATTTTATATTATAAAAATCATGTCTTTTTTGACAAAAATATCTTAGATTTGTAACTAATTTTATAACCTACAACTGTGTTCTCAACAACCTTGGCAAGCAGCATACAGGAATATATATATTTGTTTACTTTTTTGTTTGTGTTGCACTTGGTAGCCACACCCACAGTGGAATCTCATTGGTCCAAATCCTGCTCGACATATAATGCCTGTTTAATAAACACCAAATATGGTCTAATTGGCTGTGATTTTGCCACTTCGCACAACATTAGTGCTCTAACAGACTTACTGCTACCCACTCAATTGTTGTCAAGCTGCACCCGGTAAGGACATGGCATAAGACCGATAAGTCAACATTTTGGTTTTACCCCTTCAAGAATCCTTAAAAGCTAGTCAGCTGCTTTCAGCTTGAGAAACCATGCAGGAACATCGTGTTAACAGAGTCCCTCTTTCCACTCCCAATTACATGGCTGCCTGGTGGCGCTAAGCCGTGCTGGTCAAACCGAGCACTAGACGCCAACTCTGACAAGAGCGAGGGGACTACTTGACTTGAATAACAGCTTTTAAGCAGCCACTTTCAAGCAGGATCCAAAGGATGTGATTTGAAATCTGTCTTATTAGTCTATGACTAGATGTGTCCCGTTCTGCCCCTCCATCTCGCCCTGTATGTGTAAATTAGTACATGTTTTTTCAGACTTTGTTTCTTTAGTTCCCCCTTGAGATCTTATTAAAGAGAGATTTTTGGTCTCTTCCACTGAGTTCTTCTAAATCGGGCTCAGCAGAGCGGACCTCTGAGATAACCTCTCTAGGGAGGCTCATATGAACCTCCGAAATGACCACAGAGAGGCAAACACACATGGTTTTTCATGTCAAGCCGTGGTAGACAAGAACGCAAGGAACTGTTTGGAGTGTCATGTTATTCCTACAGTCTAATAGTCTGTAACTGGACGCATACGGAGTACATTGGGATTGTACTTTTTACAGATGTATAACTGACTGGTGTGTCCAATCTTAATTTCTAAAGATTAAAGGAATAGTTCAGACAAAATGAAAATCCTGTCATCATTTACTCACCCTCGTTATGTTCTAAACCCATATGACTTTCTTCTGCGGGGAGAAAATCTGAAGTCTGTTTTCTGTGCGCTTTTTTATGCAATTACAGTGAATTACAGCAATTACAGGGAGTGAAGCTTTCAAGCATCAAAAAGGGTAAAAGTATCAAACGTTTTTCGTAAGACGTGCACTATATTGATCTTGAGAACTAAATAAGTTGGATTAATGAACAAATCATTCAAGGGTGCGTTTCATGTACAACAGCGTAACTCGCTGCTTAAAGGGGTAGTTAACCCCAAAATGAAAATTACCCCATGATTTACTCACCCTCAAACCATCCTTGGTGTATAAGACTTTAATTCTTTCAGACAAATACAATCGGAGTTATATTAAAAAATGTCCTGGCTCTTTCAAGATTTATAATGGCAGTGAATGGCGGTCAAGATTTTGAAGCCCAAAAAAGTGCATCCATCCATCATAAAGTATACTCCATATGGCTCCAGGGGTTAATAAAGGCGTTCTGAAGTGAAGCGATGAGTTTGTGTAAGAAAAATATGCATATTTAAAACTTTATAAACCGTAATCTCTTAGCTTCCGCTAACTGTCATATCCACGTTCACGAGAGTGGTGTTCCAGTGGATGACGTAGGATGTAAGTGTAGCGTAAGTTCTGGTGAGAATATGCTAGTCTCGCGAAAACCAAGTTTTGTTAACAGCAAAGGAAACCCAGTCTCCTCTCGGCTTATATCGAAATCCTCAGACATTTTTCTTAACAAATCCTCATTTTGTACTTCTAATTTGTGACCGGTGCTTTCTTTTGCTCTCTCCTCTGCTCTTACGCATTCATCACTTCTCACCGGAGATTAACTTCTGGTTTGAGATCAAATTCATGTCAGATTATTGCTGTAAATAACGAACATGGCATCTGAGGTCTAATTCACTTAATTATTTCACTAAGTTTTGCTTTATTTCAGATGTTTGATTCAATCGTGGTACTAGAGCACATTCGCACATGCTCACTCTTCAAAAACTGTGCTTTTATTCTTTTGAAAAACTAAAAAAAACATTGAATTAAATTAGTATATGTATGAAATGAAAGAAATTAACTACATTACTGCATAGATTGCATTACATGTTAGCTTTCGTATTTTGCTCAAGAGCACCATCCATTAAGTCCACATGTTGTACTAACAAAAATCTACATTTCAAACCACAGGCCGAGAGCTGTAGTTTCAACCACACAACTTTGCGATGTTGTTTGCGAATGTTCATTGGAACTGTGTTTTGGAACTACATTGCTAATGACTTGCAAGCATAGTTTTGGGAGAGGCACACCAGACTGGTTTTGCGAATAGGAATAACCTATTGACTGAATTTTGCTTTGTTCCACAAAGCTATTGCAAGACTTGCAAAAATATAGCGAAAGAGACACTTTTATGCTTGAATGTCATATGGGTTTTTAACAACACGAGGATGAGTACAGAATTCTAATTTTTTTAGAACTAATTCTTTACATAAACAAACATGGGAAAACATGAAGTCATGAAATGCCACATAGTATGGGCAATTTAGCTCTGCGAAAAGCTCGAATCTCGCAGTTGCGTTAATTGAAAGGGATGCTGTCAAAAATATTGAATCCAGATGTCCACAAGGGATGAGAATCAAAGGGGGAAAAATGAACATCTGAGGAAGTTAATGTTGACTGGCCACAGACCAATGGAATCTTGCCATTAGTGAAAGCGGTCTGATGTGCATCTGTCACGCATTACTGCAGAACTCGCCAAAGGTGATCAATGCAGCTTACGAGACTGCCAAGAAGACGAGGCCGAGATTGTTGACTTCATAGTAAACAATCCCATTTCCCTTATTAGGAATTTGCTTGCTTTCTCCAAACTCATCTTTTCACATGTAGCGGCCATCCACATTGAACTAGTCCAGAATTTAAACAAGATGGCCGACCTCCTTCCAAACAAATATCCATCGCACCAATCAGTGGCTATTCAGCAACCGAGTCGTGTTTACCCTTCAGCTCAGAGGAAATAGTCTGATTCCTGTTGATTACCTCTGAGGGACTCATCAAAACCCTGGACAGAACGGACAAACATTAAGCCCAGACTGCAGCGTAACCAATGTCAAATGTTCGCCTGGTACTGATGTGAAACTAGGCTGCAGCTCATAGCATATATCTGGGGGATTTTTATGTGTCTTTTTTTATTTGAATAAAAAAACAAATATCTGGGTTACAGAGGTACTTATGGAAGTGAATGGGGCCGATCTGTAAACGTTAAAACACTGTTTCACTAGTACAACCACAAGACATAAACAATATGCCAGTTAACATGATTTTAGTGTTGAAAAACGCTTACTAACCTTTTGTGTAAAGTTATATCCAATTTTACAACAAACTTAAACTACTGTAAAAATTATTTAAACAGCAGCTCAAATAATATACAGAAAAATTAGTGTAATTGCTTATAAAATTCAAAGACGCTTTTAAATTATCTAAAAACTGGCCACATTTGCCTCAATGCATCCCTTGTTTTTTAAAGAAAACAAGGGACGAGTCAACATTTTTTGGTAATGAACATTTTGCCATAAAAGGTGTCGATTAAGCTAAACTTGTACATAACCAAAATATTCCACCTACAAAAGCAAACAACCAGATTTAACATTTAAGCCTAAAAAATTAGCATAGCACTACTCCTAGTCACAAACATTTGGATGTCTACATATTCCCACAAATGTTCAAATGAAATTTATTTTACTGTTACAGATACTCATGGAGAACTTGAGCGTCAGGAGAACTTCCACTGGAGAACTTCAAGCATCAATCAAAGAGCCGAACAAGCTGGTTCATAAAGAATTTTACATTTGGTTTCTACCAATACTACTTGCTAGTTATTGGATTTTTTTCAACATGCAACTTCAGGGAAATTTGTGCAGTGCTGTGGGAAGCACTTGGGAAGGTCTTTCTGAAGTGCAAGAATTCCCTCCAGACTTTCCTCCGAAGATACGTTTCATTAGTTCCTCACAAAAATCAAACGGATTATAACATAAATCACATTTATGGAGGAAACTTTCAAAATCCGGCTCATACCCCGTCAAGTCTAAAGTTCCATATTCATTTTTTTTATGCCGTGCTATTTATATTCCAGTTGTGTGGAGGTTCACGTAACTGTGAAAACTGCATCATCTGGGCCAAATGCACACCACAGCAGGTCTGTTGAAAAACAATCTGTTTTCCTTTCTCTGTTTAGACGCCCGAGGCAAAAAGTCCATCATTAGTGCTCCACTTCCCCCAGAGTCTTGCTATTTCGACAAAGTTCTAATTCCATATGCTCGATTTAGCGCATAGGTAGCGCGATGCTACCGCTAAACCTTGGGTTTTCACCGTCTGTGCAATCTCTGGCCCGTGTCAGTCCCTCACTAGGGCTGGCCGTCTTCCAGCTGACCGCTAAATACAGGCTAGGCCTGCCGCAGAACGGCTGTGGAGGTTTTCTCTCACCTCTTCTCCCGTCACAACTGTTAAACGCACATTCATCAGGGCTGCGACTAAACTGAGAAATCATGGATGGGTTTGTAATGACGAATTTCTACATTTCTATTTGTTTTGGTTTATTTAAGTCACACTTTGTGAAGTAAATTTTTTACATAACTATCTTTATTCACAAGATGTTTTTGCGGTCGTCTAATGATTGTAGTTGGTTTAGAAACAGCAGGAATCTCACAAAAACATGTCAGGCTATGGATACAGTTGGATGACCTCCAGGGAGAATAAGGTTCTTTGAAGAACCAGCCCCATGCGCTCATATGATCCCAATAGTGCAGTGATGTGACCGCAACCTTCGTAGAACATACCAGATCTTGAAACCAAGAGCATATGAGAGTCACTAGTGGAATCTTCTACACCAGTGATTCTCAACTGGTGGTTTGCGACCCAAAAATGGGTCACTGGTCTGATAGGGAAAAACAATGCTAAATGCAAATAATAGAACTCAAAACATTTGTAATGGAGGAGAAAATGCTTCCCATATATTTAGTTGCAGACATCAGAAGTTGAGTAGCTTGTTTATTCTTAATTTATTATGCCAAGAGCATGGAGCCCTTGAAATTTAGAAAGCATTTGATGAAAGAATTTGGTCTATGTCAGGTTAATAATGAAATATTGAATATTTAATGTGTAAAAATAAATAAATTTAAATATTATTAAATGTTTTTCATTAAATATTGTACGTTTTATTAAATATTTATTATTAAAATATATTTGTTTATAAATCATGTTAATAAAATTGTCGGATAGAAGAGTAAAAAAAGAAAAATTACATTTTAATTTTACTTTATTTTACAATTGGGATGTTATTTCTCATCATTTTGAATTTGTTTCTCATCATTTCTCATAAACTCAAAGTATAAAGATTGTTTCAAGCAATAACTAATTTACAGGTTTTTTTTACTCTTTGAGACGTAAATTCAGTATTTTTGCTGTTAATTAAAACTAATAATATTAAACATTTTTGTTAACTGAAATAAAATAAAATATAAATATTAGACAATATAAAAGTTAAACAGAAAACATTTAAAGGGGTCATATGATGTGATTTCAGTTTTTCCTTTCTCTTTGGAGTGTTACAAGCTCTTGGTGCATAAAGAAGATCTGTAAAGTTGCAAAGACTAAAGTCTCAAATCCAAAGAGATATTCTTTATAAAAGTTAAGAGTCAACCACGCCCTCCTAAAACGGCTCGTTCGAACATACCCCCACATGTCTACGTCACGATGTGGGAAGATTTGCATAACACCGCCCAAATGTTCACATAAAGAAAGAAGGCGTAACTTTTATTCATGAAGGCGCTGTGTTTCGTTGTGAAAGCGAAACTACTTTGTTTGGTCTTCCAAAAGAGGACAATATCACACCAAATACACAAAATAATGTTCTTTTTAGCAACATCATATGAACCCCTTTAATGAAAATTAGAAATGTTGCCTTGGTGAATAACTGACAAAATAATTTGAAGTACCAAAACAAAAACTGAAATAAAAAAGCTAAATTAAGAACAAAACAAAAAACAAACAAAACTGAAAACGATTACATAAAAGTACTAAAACTAATTCAAATGAAAACTGAAAAAAAAAGCTAATTCTAAATATTAATAAATACTGTAGTATATAAATAATACTAAAATAACACAGGGGGACATTTTGTGCAGTTCATGGTAGAACTATAAATGTTTTCAGGATATTAGGTTACAAAATTGTTTATTTAACAAAACTAAACAAAAGTTTTATCACTGTTTAAAGCAAAACTAGTTGAGAACCACAGTTGAGGTTTACTCAGAACGCAGAGACGCCGATGGACAAACCTGAAACACAACAACCTTCCCATCATCAGCCTGCAGGTAGAAAGTCCAGGTGGAAGAAATGAAGCTCTGGGCGGAACTGACGATGTCATTGCACCAGCTAGACACGGCATCCATAACGGAGATGGGCTTGGGCCGGTTGGTCAGGGCCTTGAGCTGCAGGTCAAGCCGAGAGCAATTTAATGGAGTTTGATAGAGATGTCAAAACATCACTGCAACCCCAAAAGGAAACAACAGAAAGTCGTACCTTCCTCCGTTTGATCTCCGGCTCAGCGGGTTGGCTGGCACACCCCGTGCTGCACGCCTCCTGCTCCAGCAGTTTACTGTAGGCCTCCTGGCATGCTGCACACACACACACATAAACGATACCTGTCAGGCGGCTCCATCTCCATTCAACCCTCCCCACGGTCAAGCAGTCATCAATATCAACAAACATCTGAGCAGCAGCCTCCCGCACCAGAAAGCACAGGATTGATTTTCAATAAAACAGCTTCCCTCATGCCTAGCAGCTTCCCACAGACAGCTCTGTTTGCCACTAGCACACAATACCATCTCTAGATAAAAATGAGTGCTATCAGCTTGTCTGCACACTCTATAGTATATGTCCTTGGGCTATGTGCACTTCATTCCAAAACATTAGCGTCGTCAAATGCATTTTGACAGGCAAAAAGATACAGTTTTTCTCGCTTTGAATTTGTACTAGCGCACCAATTCGATATATTTTAGTGGTTCTTAAGCTGTGTTTGAGTCCTCCTGGGAAGTTTGTACTTACAAGCCCTGGAATCACTTACGGCATGCGTTTAAGAGATTTCGGACAGAAAAAAAAGGACTTTAGGCATGGTCAAAACTTTCCTTATTCAGCAAATTTTTTTGCAAAATAATCTATGATTGTGAATTCCGCAAAAGGGTGAAAGATAAGGTGGTCACATTTACTGTTGTTTGCCAAATTTTTGCTGAAGAAATCCAGGCATTTCAATAGAAATTTAGAATTTTGGGTGAGGGTAAATGATTTCCACACAGTTTCAAGTTTGGTCACACTGATTTACTGCGTTGACCAACAAAAAGCAGCTTGCTTTGAAAGTGACTTTTTCTGTGAGCTGTGTTTCATACATGATTACACTGTTGATGATAGACAGGAAAACTTTTGCAAATGTGACCAAGCGATTAAACTGCGTTCAAGTCCTCTTGGTAAGTTTGTGACTAACTTACCAAGAGGTAAGTTAGTCACTTAAAATCGGAGTTATGATATTAGCTCAAGAGATTTTGGGGCAGAAAAACTGGACTTAAAAGGATAGTTCACCCAAAAATGAAAATTACCCCATGATTCACCCTCAAGCCATCCTAGATGTATATGACTTTCTTTTCTCAGACGAACACAATCAGAGTTATATAAAAAATATCCTGGCTCTTCCAGGCTTTATAATGGCAGTGAATGGTGGCCGAGATTTTGAAGCCCAAAAAGTGCATCCATCCAACATAAAAAGTGCTTCACATGGCTCCAGCGGGTTAATAAAGGTCTTCTGAAGTGAATCAATGCATTTGTGTAAGAAAAATATCCATATTTAAAACTTCATAAACCGTAATCTCTAGCATATTACTAGCATATTCTCACCAGAGCTTACGCTACACCTATGTCCTACATCATCCGCTGGAATGCTACTCTCTCATGAATGTGTGTACGACAGTTAGTGGAAGCTAAGGATTACGGTTTATAATGGTTTAAATATAGATATTTTTCTGACACAAACACATCAATTCGCTTCAGATGGCCTTTAATAACTCCCCGGAGCCATGTGGAGCACTTTTTATGATGGATGGATGCACTTTATTAGACTTTAAATTCTCAACAGCCATTCACTGCCATTATAAAGCTTGGAAAAGTCAGGACATTTTTAATATAACTCCGATTGTATTCATCTGAAAGAAGAAAGATATATACTCCTGGGATGGCTTGAGGAGGAGTAAATCATGGAGTAATTTTCATTTTTGGGTGAACTATCCCTTCAAGATGCGGTCACGTTTACTGTTACTGTAACAGTAACAGTACAGTACCATCAAATTTTTGTGCGTGAAATGCAGTGAAATATGGGACGTTTTAATTTGAAGGTGAAAGAAACTGAAACTGTAGCTTAGCGAGCTACAAGCTAATCATAATTTGAAGTAGTTAGCCACAAGCTGCTAACAAAAACTAGAAAAAGATACTGAATTTTTGCTAACACAAAAATGTTAAGGATTTTGAATGAATGAATCTCAGTTAGACTGATAATATCAAACCATAACAAGGTAAATTTACATTAAATACCACAACAAAACTAATTTACATAACTGAGCCCAAATCATTGTGCAGGGAGTTAAATCAGTGAATTATTTTCAAAATCTGTTCATTTACATGAACTATCTGAACAAATAATTTCACTAGAATGATCTGGACGTGTCGGTGCCGATAGCCTTGTGAGCAGTTGCCGACATACAGCGCTGTTGCGCTTCAGGCGTCCCGTGTACGAATCCCGACTCGAGGACCTTTCCCGAACCCCCTCTCCCACTTCACTTCCTGTCATATCTGATCTGTCCTATCACAATAAAGGCAAAAAATGCCAAAAATAATAAAAAAAATATATTTTTTTTATTAAAAAAAAGAATAATTTGGACGCTACATACGAGTAAGAGGATCATTTAGGACAAACTGACTCACTAGAATTAATCCGTCTTTCCAAACCTTTACTGTTTAGGTGAGCATGTTTGATGTAGTTAAGTTAGTAGTGTTGGCACTTTTAGTTAGCTACTTCCTAAAACTGGTCAAAATAGTTCATACCTCCCTGGCACTCTTCCTTGCTGGTATTGATGCCTGTATTTCCATTCACAAACTGGCAGATAGAGTAGAGCCGACAGCCACGGTGACAGGCATTCATGATGGAGTCCTGTAGGAACAAGGTAAAGGCTTCATTCAGAATGTATTTTTTTGTACAGTGATTTATGTAACTCCAAGAATAACTTTAATTGATGTTCAGATGTTTTTATCCACAGGGAGGTTGTGGTCACATGGAGGTTTTCTCAAAGGATGTTTTATGCAATATCCAAGATGAGTTCCTGAAAATTATTATGCAAGATGTGACATGCACACGGTTTTCCTAATGGCACATTAGAATCGAGGATTGATTGTGGGTAGAGACAGCAGAGCACTGGCTGATGTTTGAAGATGGAAGGGCAAAGTGTGGTGATTCAAACCCATGCAAGGTCAATTCATGACCTTTAGAGTAACAGAAGTCACCTGACCCTGCAATGACCTTCAGCATCACCTTCAGAATTTACAGGAAACGAAATAAAATGTATATGTTTACATTACATTTGTTGAGGTGGGACGTTTCCTCGGTTCTATTTTTTCAAATCCTGGACAAATGACTCCTATGAGCCGGTTCTTTTTTAGCAAATTAAAAATATACAGCACAACCCATGTGGTCTGATTTTCTAACGAATTATGATTCACAAAAGCCAGTTATCTTTAGTTAATCACAATCACTTATGAATTAGTTGGAGCGGTTATTGAATTGCAAGAACTTTATTACTTTCATTATGTTCCACTTTAAATAAATTACGATTCGTTTCATTATGAGCTGTGGTGGTATTCTATAAAAATGTTACATTTTAAAGTCTCTATAAAGTATGTGAGAAGTCATTTAAACACACCTTTTGCAATACTTAAATGAAACATATCGTAATTGTTATATCTGTTCTGTTGATATCAAATTAACTCGTTGTTTTTAAGGGCAGTTAAAGCTAGAATTTATAAGAATCGTTCAAATAAATTCTCATCCCAAAAGATGAACCACCTCTAGTGCGAAGTGATGCAGGCTGTAAGAAAAATAAGGATCTCAGTTTCTAAATATATTTTTAAAGAACAATTCCTTCACGTGATTATATACAAGCTAAACGAACGTAATTGAACGACGTCGCCCTCGGATATGGAGCAAATATCAACCCACGTCTTTACAAGCGTTTATGGGCCAACATCAAACAATAGAGATGCGCTCGCGTGCTTCTATTGCCGCGCTCAGTTTTGCGCATTTAGAACGTAGAACGTCCGTTGCGGTTAAAAAACATCCGAATGACAGATACGGCCAGGCAGGTCCTAACATATTGACCGTTAAATTCATGCGTCATAAAGCATCGTTCTCGGCCTGTTCTTGGTGGATACAAAGTGACGTTAACGTTTCCATGCGGTGCCAGGAACTGGGACACAGAAATCCACGAATCGATTAAGAATTGGCTCGAGGTGCTACCAAATAATGCTCCCATCTTTGCGCAGTGTCTTTGCGCAGAACAGTTTTGTGTCAAAATGAACCCGCACGTTCCCTATAGCGATTATCAATTGCAGAACTACTTTATTTATTCACATCTGCAAATGGCTGCGACTCTGCCGAACCAGTAGTAAACGCAAAATCCTATTAAACGCATTTTCCACAGGCCGTTACAATATACTGCAAAAGCATCTGGTACGTGGTACTTACTTTGGCGGGGCTTTTGTTTTTGATGGACATCTGGCATTGCTTTTTGCAGTAATTGATATCGCCCAGTTGGTTGTCAAACAGATCGGATGATGCCGCCGCCAACGCCACCAGAATCAGAGAGACGAGCGCGGAAACGCCGCGCACCCTGCCGCCGAACTGGAGCATCTTTTTTCCGCACGATTCGGTGCACTGGCGCGTCTGCGGGGTTCGGTGCGTCTCGACCGGTCCCTGCCGTAGCTGCTTCGGATCGGCTCTATCAGCCTCGTGCCTTTGATGCGCCGTGGCGTGACTCCTCACATCATCACGCTCGCGCTGCGCGTCTCCAGCCAGTGCATTGCATTGCGGCAGATCGGTATAACGGAGTGCATAGAAACAACGGGGAAAAATGTGTCTAGTACTTTAATGTAAATAAAAACAACACAGATGTTTCATTTCTACCACATGAAATAAAGTTCTAATGAGGATGACTGAATTAGATAGATAGATAGATAGATAGACACACACACACATACATAAAATTGTAGATTTAAATTCAAAAGTTAAAAAAAAATCCTATTTTCCTCACAATTGCCATATATATATATATATATATACGCGGCAGCAAGATTAATCTTTAATGAGCCGAAAAGAACACACTTCACACCATTTAGCTGACGCTTTTATATATATATATATATATATATATATATATGTTTATGTGTAACCAGGAATAAAACACATACCCTAACTTTTATAGAAAAAAAAGCACATTTTGTTTTAAAGTCCAATACACATTCATAAGTAAAAATTTATTTATGGTTAATTTATGGTACTAATAATCAACTTTTTTTTTTGCTTCCATTGTCCTCATTTGTAAGTCGCTTTGGATAAAAGCGTCTGCTAAATGACTATATATATATATATATATATATGTTTATGTGTGACCAGGAATAAAACACATACCCTAACTTTTATAGAAAAAAAGCACATTTGCTTTAAAGTCCAATACACATTCATAAGTAAAAATGTATTTATGGTTATGAGAAATGAATGAAATAATCTCTAAATTATAGTGTGTCCTAACTATTCAGGCATTACACAATTCGTTGTAAAGTAGCACTGGGTGTGGAGCTGCATTACACAAAACAGACCATTATAAACTATGCGATGTAGACAAAAATTAATCGTGTGTATTGGCTGTAGAACAAACTTTAGATGTAGCCTACATCTGTTCCTACGTGAGGAACAGCAGACAAATACAAAAAGGAAGGATTTTGGGAAGGGTTTGTTTCATTATTTTCTGTTGTGGCCAGCTTAGTATACAAAACAAAAGAAAAGAAAACACTGGCTGCAGATGCGCTACTAATAATGACTTGTGGCTGTGTGGTAAGACATGGGAGGAGCTTCAGAAGAATCAACTTTTTCAGCTTTTGAGGCGTGAGCTATATTGATTCTTCTCCAAAATTGAGAGTGAAGGTGAATCAGAGCGTCCTCTCCACATAATGGTGCTTTCCAGAACCAGCAATGATTTTTACGAAGCTTTCTGGTGATTAAGGCTTTTCATTTTCAGCAATTTATGTGAAGGAGAATGGATTATGCGTGCGCGCGCTCCCATCAGCATGACAAGAATCGAGTTGAGAGGGCGCGCGGCAGACAAATGGCAATTTTAGTCATTATGCTGTTTTTTGTTGCGCTTCTTCCATATGCGCTCACAGCACGTAAGTACAATTTCAAGTGTATTTGAAGTTTACTTTGAAGTAAAGTTATTTGAGAATATGTCTACAAACTTCTCATCTTCATTTAAAGGTCTTGTTGGAGGTGTTTATGTTTTCATTTTCATCTCTCCTCACGTTTGTGTCAATTTAGAGGTCATATTCGTCTTAGTTTACGGTAAAATTCAATAGTTAAGAAAGATTTATTCATTTTAACTGTGGTAACTTGTCATTAGCGATGACTTTCTTCAAAAGAAAAAAAAACAATGACAGAAATGTTCTGTAAACTTCTCATACTGTTTAACGGCGACCTTATAATCGTTTACAGCCCTAATAATAACTTGCATTTGAAATAAACTAATGGAAATTAATGCAAAAGTGTGTAAAGACATGATATATTAAGATGTAAATAGATCTACAATATGATAATAACTGTATTAATAAACAGAAAAACCTAAAGTAAAAGAAGTCGTGTTATTGACAGAAATAGCTCGTCTTGGAGTGCAATATTGCTTTTATGAAACAGTCACTACATGACAAGATTATCAAGGATACAAATTAATTTATTTAAAAAAGCAAATTCATTAAGTTTCATTGGTCAGTTTTTCCAAACAACGCTAAAGGAGTAAAAGCTTCCAATAAGGTAAGCCTTTCCTAACAAGTACAGTACCATAGTTTATACATTAATTATTCAGTCTTGTTTCCCAACTCTTCAGTGTTTCTTAGTGTCCAATGGCACATGTTAAAGAGTTTGTCTGCCTCCCACCAGGAGCAGAAATGATCTGCATCAACACTCGGTTTCCCTGAAGGCCAGTAGTAGCTCTTCCAATCCAGCCATCGTTCCCTCTGAACATTTGTCTTAAACATGAATAAATATGAGCTCTGCGGACACACAAGACGAATATTTACAAGATGGAAAACCACTTAAGTTGCTGAAAAATGACCTTATGCGACCTTTCCAACTGCGGTCATAAATCCAGTTGTAAAAATTGCTGGAATCATGAAGTCTCCTCTTCTTCTGACCCCCAGACTTGGCTGTCATATCCCCCCAGGATCCAGTGCTTCATATCGGCTCGAGTTTGACTGCGGTGTGCACCATTAGCGCCGAGCTGGAAATAACAGCTAGATCCTTGTACTGGACGCTGAATGGAAAACGCTTGGCTAGAAACACTTACAAGGTCCTTAGCCCGACCGAATCCAGCGTCACACTCCATCAACTCAATGGCTCCTTGCAGCGGTCAGGAGACAACCTGGTTTGCCACCGAAGCAATGGAGAAGTGTTGGCTGGATCATGTCTTTATGTTGGCTGTGAGTTTGTGAACACTTCCAGCTTGTTTTTTTGCCATGTGTTTTTGAATATTCATGCTGTCCTCTTCTTTTTATTTTAATTTGACATATAGCGCCCCCTGAGAAACCTGTCAACCTGACATGTTGGTCACGAAACACCAAGGATCTCAGCTGCAGATGGAGTCCGGGAAGTCAAGGAGAGTCATTCATCAACACCAAATACATCCTCAAGTACAAACTAAAGTGAGATTTTGACACTAAAAAACTTTATACCGACACCTGTTTTGCAAGAATCCCTTTTAGTATGCAACTCTTCCATTTTAATAACCATCAGATGGTACGGTAAAGAGAAAGACTGTGAGGACTACACAGGACAGATGTATACATGCTACGTTCCTCGCGACCTTGCCATTTTTACGCCATATGAAGTTTGGGTGGAGGCGTCCAATCAGCTCGGCTCTGCCGCTTCTGATGTCATCACCTTAGACATTTTAGATGTAGGTAAGTAAGTCTAAAATATGCTAGTTTGGTGGAAAAATTGAGGTTGAGATCAAGGTGACTTGGGATAACTTCATACTAACTTGCACATAAATGCATAAAACCATCTGAACGTCTCGCATATGGTGCGCACACACTCGTCTGCGAGAAAATATTTTTACAGACTGTAAAAACACTTTCCAACAGCTGAAACGTTTCCAAAAGGCAACTCGTGAAAATAGTACTTTAAAGGTCAATGTGCAGCTGAAAGTCTGTTGGCAATTGGTTAAAATTTTAAATCAGATGACTTACTTGACATACCAATGCATTAATCGAATTAATCACAATTAAACTACATCCATCAATCAGCATTTTTTTGCTGAGAAAAGCGAAGATATTACATTACTACATCTTTAAGGCCTCATTTCCTCATCTTCTGAAACAATAAGCTCTGGAATTCTCCATGATTGGCTTTGCCCTAAAGGCAAGCTTGATTAAAAAACGTAGCAGTGGAGCACGTCCATTTCAAACAACAATGGAAATGGGAGATTGCCGTAGTTACGGCAAAATATCATCTAGCTAATGAGCGTCGATGAAGGTTTATTGGGAGATTCAATTACAAGCAGGAAGGAAAGGAAGAATCGTTTAACGGTTACCAACTTTTATTGGGTTTAATCAACAGTTCTGAAAATGACTTTCGTACATGTTTGATGTTGTGAAATATTCCTTTCAGTAACTACAGATCCGCCTCCTGATGTCCTTGTGAGCCGCATTGGAGATCTGGAAGATCAGTTAAGTGTACGTTGGGGCAGTCCTCCTGCCCTGAAAGACTACCTGTTTCAGGCCAAGTATCAGATACGATACCGTGTGGAGGAGAGCGACGAATGGAAGGTATGGCTGAAATGATTTAGTCCAGGCGAGTGCAAATCCTGCTCCTTGAGGGCCAATGTCCTGTAGAGTTTGGCTCAGGCCCGGATTGGCTAATCGGGAGCACCGGGAGGATTCCCGGTGGGCCGGTCTGTTTTTTGGCTGGGAGGGCCGGTGTGTTGTCATGCTACTGGGTTGAAATGTGCTGCCTGCACTCACAGCAGCCCTACTCTTTTTATTTATTATTTTCTCGCAGCCCATATTATTTTTTTCACCAGACCATAATAATAACAAATTCTCAATTGATAATTAATCATTCTTTTTGCGATAATCATTGTTATTTGTGAACGTAGGCGTTTGAGGAAGGCTTTAAGACCAAGCGGAATCCTCTACCGGCTGCTCCCGCTTCACAGCGAGCACGACTCGCACTAAAACTGCACCCAGGTTCACTGTCCGCGTTTTGATTTTACAAAATCAGTTTGGGCGAATGCAACTTATTGATCATGAGCCCAACATTTAGCAAGGCAGGAAAACATTCAGTCTACCTGAACGAAGACGTATTTCATTGTAAGTTAATGCTGTTAAATAGAGAGAGAAAAAAATACATTGAAAAAAAAAAAACTAGTGTAGGCTATTCTTAAACTTGGACCTCATTATATTGAAGTACAAATCCAAGCACCAGAAGCAGCCCACACTCTAAGTGTTATTTCATTGAAAAGTATGCATTTTTATTCGTTCACAGGCTATATGGTTGAAATTTTAGTTCAAAACTTTAAGTGCCATTGTTTAAAAAAATGCTTTATTGACTGACGTTTCATAGACCTTCAGTTGTTATGCTTTCAAATTCCATGCCATTTGTAATTTCACAGTATTTTCACCTCCTAAATTACAACCCTTGTAAAGTCACGATTCTATAATGGTAAAATGTACTTAATTTTTTGTATGAGGAGGGCCGGTGTGTTGTCATGCTACTGGGTTGAAAT